GGGTGAAAAAGACTATAACATTTGTGTTAAATAAAAGTCAAATTTCCATTAAACCGCGAATATTTTTAGTCCCGGCGAAATCATAAATAGACGAACAGGTCAATTCTGACAGTTACGTAGATGTCGATAGTAAATATATCGGATATATATAGCGAAATATATACAATGTGTATATATAAAGGAAAGGAATGTTAGATGGAATGCTTATATCTCAAGAACGGCTGGACCGATTTTGACAAATTTTGTCAATTCAGAACGCCCTCTTGACATAAAAGTATAAAATCTAAAAAATTGCATAAAAATTAGACAAAAATGATGTTAATATAGATTTTGTAGTATTTTGTGACATTTTTTATTTTTTCATATTTTTTATCGCATGCGATTTTTTCGATTTGACTTTTAATATTAAGGTATGCATTTTGTAATATTTTTCCACCTTACAACACAGGTTGGGGTTATTATATACAGATTGCAATTATCGTCCGATCCCAACGAAAAGGGTAGGGTTAGGCTCAGAAGGGCTAGGCCTATTGTTTTCAAAGATGTCCGCAATATATTTAGGGGTTAAAATGGACCAACAACTAAAATGTTCCTGATTTTGCAGCCGTTATAAAGGTCACAAATAGAAATTAATGGACACTCGTATGAAGTTAGAGTTTAGGACAGTGGGTAGAATGAATATATCGTAGACAAGTAGATCATATAGACGAGTCTAAATGTGGAGATACAGAGAGGCCTCTTGCTTTTGGGATGATCGCAAAATACGACGGAGTGCGTAAATATTGGGCAAATGGCCTGGTCAAAATGCTAAGGGTAATATCTGGTCAGTGCTCCGTGACATAATTTCAAAAGCGAAATCTTCCAAAATTGATTTGGATATTAGGGGGCTTTCATCATATTGTAGTGTTGTAGGGTATTACATGGTCGGCCCAGCACGACTATAGCCTTTGCTTACTTGTTTTTCTTGACAATTTCTTAATTTGGTCATAGACCCATGACGTTCGTCCCTCTGTGGCATTCAAAGCCATATTTTAAATATGCACACTGCATTAATTAAGTCGACTTAGAATTTTACTCTGATCAAGAGTATATACTTTGTAGCGTATGTATTTTTTGAGGTGTAACAAACTGAATGACAAACTAAGTTGGAGGTGGACAAAACTAAATCTATGAAAACGAATTCAAAGTTCCAAATAATGGCACATTTCACAGAAAATTTGCATCGCAAAATAAACTGAACAGCGGTGATACGTACCCCACATTTGTGTTTATGGGAAATTATCCTATAAAGCAACACTTAAGAAAGATGACGTCAAAGACAAAAATATTCTTTATCGAATTTCACCACATAAAAAGATTCGTTATTTATAATATATATTGGCAAAAATATGCTAAAAATTTGTATACCAAATTTTCTTCGGTCTTTTTCGAGTTGGTGCATGAAAAACATAACAGTTTGTTTTGGTCAAAAATATCAAACAAAGAAATATTCTAAACAAAATATCACTATAAGTGTCAGTAAAAGTCATGTATATAAAATTAATAGTTTTTTTTTTTTTTTTTTTAATTGCGTTCAAAACTTATGATACAGATTAAAATTATGGTTTACTCTTTTAACTGCGTGTTAAGATATTAAAACAAGTATGCAACGGCTAAAGTCGTGCGGGGCCGACCTTATGTCCAAATCCATTTTGGAAGATTTCGCTTTCGAAATTGTGTAACTGAGCACTGCCCACATATCACCCTTAGCATTTTGACCAGGAATATTTGCCCAATATTTACGTACTTCATCGTGCTGTTAGTTTTTGTGGTCCATTTTACGGCTAAATATATTCCAATGGTCATCCAAAATGCCAGAATTCTTCCCTGTGCTTTACTATCTTCTCAGGCGTATCGATTGGCTTCAATTGTGTGATCAGGAAATATTTTGTGATCATCTCTAAAAGCAAGAGGCCCCTCAGCGTCTCCAAATTTAGACTCATCTATATGATTTGCTTGTCTACGATATTTAGCTATATTCGTCAAAGAAATTAAAAAAGCCAGAAGTTCGCCTATTGTGTATTTCGGATATTTCCTGTAATGCTGGTATTTTTTTACACAAAAGTAGTGGTCCATTCTAACTTTATGTGAGATTTCGTGTGCTTTGGTTTCTATTTGTGGCCTTTATAACGGAACATTTTTAGTTGTTGGTCCATTTCAACCACAAAATATATTGCGGATATCTTTGAAAACAATAGGCCTAGCCCTTCTGAGCCTAACCCTACCATTTTCGTGAGGATCGGACGATAATTGCAATCTGTATAACCTGTGTTGTAAAATAAAAAAATTACAAAATGTACAATTCAATATTATAAGTCAAATTGAAAAAATCGCATGAGATAAAAAATATGAAAAAATAAAAAAAATGTCACAAAATACTAAAAATCTATATGAACATCATTATTGGCATATTTTTATGCGATTTTTTTAGATTTTATACTTTTATGCCAAAAGGGCATTTTAAATTGTCAAAATTTGTCAAAATCGGTCCAGCCATTTTTACTATATACAAATTGTATATATTTAGCTATACATATCCGATATATTTACTATCGGCGTCTACCTAACGGTCAGAATTGACCTGTTCGTCTATTTATTATTTCGCCGGGACTAAAAATATTCGCGGTTTAATGGAAATTTGACTTTTATTTATCACAAATATTATAGTCTTTTTCACCCACTAATTATTACCCGATGGCCATTAAAATTGGAAGGCTTCTGCCCAGCCTTTAGCTATAGCTCCATGCTAACTTCCGCGTCGATTAGTCTATAATTGCGACCTGTAGAGCAACTCCAAAAACAGGATTTTTTTCAGTTTTTGGTCCATTTCGACCCCTAAATATTGTGCGATCATCTCCAAAAGAAATAGGGTTCTATTCTGACCTTAACCCCACCTCCATTCAAAATTTCGTGAAGATCTGGCCATAATTGTGACCAGTAGAGTGATTACAAATTAACATGGACAGACGGACAGACGGACGGACGGACATACATAGGAAGATCGACTCAGCTCGGCGAGATAGGAAGATCCATATATACTTTCCTATGTGGGAAACCAATATTTCGAGGTGTTACATAATTTTTGGCCCAATCAAACTTATAATACCCCCAACACAAAGTGTTGTAGGGTATAAATATATATTTAAAACGCAGATACCGATATACGGGGGACTATGCACAATAGCGATTAATTACATTGTGCAACAACCAATCTGGGGTTTGGGAGATTCAAGTGGAAATTATTCGGTTAGAAGATCAAATCCAAAAAGGGGTTTTGGGTGACGACCCATTATAGTCTTAACCATAAACAAATTGCATCAAATATTTTGCTCTATACTTCGCCACATTTACGATAGAGTTTTAACTTTGATGTAATCCAATGGGTTACATGTAGAATCATGTGTACAAAATATGGGTCATGTCAGTTTACGTTTTGGTTTAGGCCACATTTAAGGGTATACATCTATTTCAAATTTTTATTTTGAGATATTAAATTGATGAAAATGTTCTTTCAAAAAAATTCTAAGTATAGTGCCACGTTTTGGTATAACCCTCATATGAATGTATTTCTGATTTTCTATAGATTTGGTATCTTGACTTCTCTATTTAGAGTGTCTTGACCACATTTGTGAGTAGAAAATCATCTTACAGAAAAATGTAGACATAGGTAGATTTTGGTATAGGGGCGGACAAACACACGGACATTGTTTAATCGTCATTGCATTTTACTATCAACAAGAACATAGACTTTATGGGGACTCTAATGCACAATTTTTGGTGCTATGGTAATGGGTGTAAAAGAGTAATTAACTTTGACTATTCAGATTTTATTCTGCTCTCCTTCCATAGGTATTTATTTCTATTTAGACCCGTCAATATTTAAAATAATATTTGTGGACCTTTACGAGCCAGATTTGTGAATTCTTATGCTAAACAAAATGTATATTAAAGACTGTTAAAGTAGGGGCCAGCAACGCGGACCGGGCCAGCTAGTTATAAATAAAGCAAGATTCCGTAATGTTATCCGATTAAAGTAAAACTTCACCCCGGTGACCTTGATCTATATATGTCGTTTAATTGTTTCGCAATTTTTTACTCTAAAAAATAGATTGCTTATGGCCACTAATAGCAAAATTGTATTTATTTTATTTTTTATTGTTCATACATTGTGCATATTGAGCAGGGGCAAAAAATCTCTAGAATTCATTCCATGAATTCGTCTATTGTACAAACGAAAAACAAGAATCATATGCAAATCTAAAAGTATGCATGTATTCTTGTGTATTTTCAATATTCACAACCTTTCTTTATGCCGAATTAATGTTTGGACTTTCGCCATAAATATTAATTTAAAATATTTGCAGCAGACCTAGATTTCGTTGTAACTAATTAAAATATATCATCAGCACAAAGGTTGGGTCTGAATGCCCGACTTAAAACAATCGATATTAATAGACCGACCGGGTTAGTGACCCACCCAAATGATATGACAACAACTACGAAAACAACGTGTGCGATGAGTTGCGAACTTGTAAATATGCCTTACAATAGCTAATCGGCTGCTGCCGAAGCAAAAGATTTTGAATTAATTTGCGGTCTTTTTTTTAATACAACGACATTTGCTGATCTCGATCGAACTCGCTGTTCTGGATCACTAATAGTTTAGTTCTTGTAATATGCATATATTACCATAGCAACAACACGCACCGATTTGTGTAAACTTTCTTCTTCGGAACTTTGACACTGGGTGAGAGGCTGAGGTCATGTATGTAATGTTGTAGGCTTTCTTTTTTTCTGCGACTTTCGTCGTAAAATTTTTTTGAATATAAGCCGGTCGGAGAAAGGTAAAAGTCATCATTCACTCGACGTCTTTCGATCTTCTAACAATCGAATAGCAAAAGATATAAATTCTCGGATAGGACTCTAGGATAACATTTCGCGGCGAACTGAGAGGAAGCGAAATGAATTTCAAGAGCTGTTTAGTTATTTTATTGCTCGGTACAGCCGTTACCTTGCAATGGGCTGGTAAGTAGTCGAAATGATTGTCTCATTTTAATCGAGGATGTATGTACGTGGTATTATAATGTGACTTCTATTTATCCTGCAGATGCCAGGGAAATCAAGGGACATCAATACAAACTCTTTGCCAAAAAGCCACAACAAGTTGAGGGCCGCCATGCTGATTTCTTAAACAAATTGGTTATGTTGAAGGGATCAACCACTACCACAACTGTCCAACCACCAGCCACCCTTCCTCCACCACCACCAACAACCGGCACTGGTACCGGAACAGGCACTGGTACTGGCACCGGCACTGGCACCGGTACTGGCACAGGAACAGCCCCACCACCACCCACAACAGCACCACCACCAACATCACCACCAACAACATCACCACCCGCAACATCACCACCAGCAACATCACCACCAGCAACATCACCACCAGCCACATCACCTCCAGCCACATCCCCACCAGCCACATCCCCACCAGCAACATCCCCACCAGCAACATCACCACCAGACACATCCCCACCTGCTACATCACCTCCCGCACCAGCACCTGCTCCCGCTCCAGCTCCAGCAGAACCCGCCCCATCTCCAGCAGAACCCGGCCCTCCTCCAGCAGAACCCGGCCCTCCTCCAGCAGAACCCGACGCTCCTCCCGAAGGATCCGGCCCTCCCGAAGGATCCGGCCCTGCTTCCAGAGGCAGCAATGACAACATTGATGAACATGATGATGATGATCTCGATGCTGATGATGAAGAAGATGAAGTTGAATTGCTTGCCCACCACGATAACGAACTTGCCAATGGAGCTGATAACTCTGTCACCGATGCCAAAGAAATGGGCCGCGCTGCTCGTCCCAATGCTATTCTCTTGAGACGTCGCTTCAGAATGCAACGCCGCAGGCGCATCAACAAGCTTCGCAAGCAAAAACGCGTCGCTCTCCGCAGACAACGCAAACAACACCGTGCCACCCAAAAACGTCTCCGTCGCCTCACCCAAAAACTACGTCGCCGCTTGCGCAATCAAAGGATCAAGTTGCGAAGACGTGGTTCTAAGAAGACCAAGAAAATCGTCAAGAGACAGAGACGCATGCACAAACGTCGTTTGCGCCTCCAACGCATGAACAAAAAGCGCACATTGCGCCAGCAACGCAAGCAACAAAAACGCTTGATCCGCCGCATTCGCCGTCTCCAGAAACGTACCAGGACTATGAAGAACAGCAACAAAATCAAGAAGCTGAAACGTAGATTGAATCGTTTGAACAAGAAGCTCAGGAGGGCAAACAGACGTCGCATTGTACGCAGACGCCCCATTCGCAGGCGCCCAATTCGCAGACGTCGTGTTGTACGCAGACGCCGTTTGCAACGCGCTTAAGTGAAACGATTGATTGGACCTGAATAAATTTAATATCTAAATGATTGATGAGAAACAAAAATTGGAATTTTAAATTGATATTTGGGAATGAGTGTGGGAATTTGAATAGACCTTAAAAAATCACTTGCCTACTATTTACAGAAGATAGGAAAAGGGTTTAAAATTTCAAGGAGAATTTTATCTGCAGGTAATGTACTCCACTTTGCCCGAATCCTCCATAGAGCATAGGAGGAGTGTTCTTCCTCTACTGAGGGTAATTAGGAATAGGCCTTAAAAATTAAATCCTTTCCATACTAACTATAAAAAATCGGTAAGGTGCCATTAAATTGAACTAGATCCATTTAACGTAATGTAAGCAAGCTAATGCAAGTACAAAATAATGGGTTATTCCCTTAAATATACAAATGCACCAAGCGTGAGCGTCCGACTACGAAGGTTCTAATTTGCTGGCTGGAATCGGTAAACGAAGAAAAACAAATTAAAAGCAACAAGTAAGGCCTCGCCGAACTTTCATTACCCTCCACAATTTGGAACGAATTTTGAAATCTTAAAAATACCGAATATAGCCGTTATATTGGGGTCTAAACGACGTGGACCTACATAGGCATTGTTTGTTGTAAGCCATTACCATATTAAAACTCGAAACATGAAATAAACGTTGAATAATGTAGCTAAAATCACGAAAATACCGTATATAGGGAGGTACCGTTATATCGGATCTATACGAAGACCTGGACCTGCATAAACAATTTCCTCTCACAGGCTGTAGCATCCATTACGAACTTCAAATACGACATCTCAAACAATTTCTGTGAGTATTATACCTAAAATCGTTAAAATACCGAATATAGGGAGGTACTGATATATGGTGCCTATACGAAGACCTGGACCTGCATAGACAATTTTCTGTCACAGACTGTAGTTCCCATTACGATCTCTAAATACGTAATTTGAAATTACTCCGGTGGATAATGACGCTAAAACCATCAAAATTCCGAATATGGGGAGTACCGTTATATGGGGGCTATACGAAGACGTGGACCCGCTCAGACAATTTTCTGTCTTAAGTAATAGTATCCATTTCGGACTTCAAATACCAAATTTTAAACAATTCCGGTAAATAATGTCGCTAAAATCATCAAAGTGCCGAATATCGGGAGGTACCGTTATATGGGGGCTATATGAAAACGTGGACCTATATTACCCATTTACGAACTTAACCTGCCTACTGGCAAAATAAATGTGTGTGCAAAATTTTAGCCTTCTATCTCAATTTGTTCTGTGATACTCTCTGTTTGTTCAGTGATTCTCATTCCAAAATTCCAGCTCATTCTTTATGTCCAACATAAAGTATTAAATTTTTGGTGCATTTTGGTACTTTTCGTACCCTTTTAGAACGCATTTCTAAAAACCCAGCCTTATAATACGTCTACGCACCAAGATTGGCACTCGGGTAAAATGTCAAGATTCTAGCTTCAGCCGTTTTGTCTAGACGTTGATTCTACAGGATGAAACAAAAAAACCGCAACAAAGTCAAACACCGTATTTTGGCCCATTCCCGGCGAAGCGCTTCAGTGGCCATTGTGCGCTGAGAATGAAGCGAGGAATATCATTTTGTAACCATTCTTTGGTGGCGCGTGCTGAGTGCGATGGTGCCAAACCAAATTCGACAGTTTACCACTTTGGGCCAGGCGAAGCAACTCTTTAGCTCTTTTGAGTCTATTTTCTTTTTGTTGCGGTGTAAGTTCTCGCACTTTTTGCAATTTCAATGGCTTTACCCCGAGCTTATTTTGCAGAAAATGATTTCCGAGAAATATTTCATAAATATTTATGTGATTTCATAATTATTTCTGTATACTAAGTCGGTTTTTATACCCTACACTAAAAGGTGGTCAGGGTATTATGTCTTTGTGCATTTGTTTGTAACAGGCAAAAGGAAACGAGATAGACCCATAGTTCCTTTTCATGATCTGCATAGAATCACTTTCTGAGTTGATTTATGCATGTCAGTCCGTCCGTCCATGTATTCTTGTGAACAAAATGCAGGTCGCATTTATTATCCGATTGCGATGAAACTTTGCAAACAACATTTGTTTGGCCCAAGGACGAACCCTATTGAAATTGGAGATAATCGGTAAAAATTTAGATATAGCTCCCATATATATTTTCGTCCGATTTGCCTTTTATTGTGCACCAAACGTGTAATATCAGCCCGAATAGCATGGAATTATGCACATGCAACCAAATTAGGCCTAAAAATAAGCATGCCAAATTTGATGGAAATCGGTTCAGATATAGCTATAGCTCCCATATATATTGTTCATCCGATTTGTTATTTTTGTCCTCCGCAGCCGTTATATGCACTCTGGGGAAATATATCAAATGCAGCTCAGAAATACCTTTGCTAAATTTTATAGAGATCGGTTCAGATTTGAATACAGCTCCCGTATATAACTTCGTCCGATTTACCATTTATTGTGCACCAAACGTCTAATATTTGTCAAAATGGGATGGAATTTGGCACATACGACCGAATTTAGTCTAGAAGGTAGTATGCCAAATTTGGTGAAGATCGGTTCAGATATAGTTATAGCTCCCATATATATTGTTCATCCGATTTATTGTATTTGTTACCCACAGCCGTAATATGCACTCCGTAACAACGATATTCAGGGAAATATATCAAATACAGCTCAGAAATATCTTTGCCAAATTTTATCGAGATCGGTTCAGATTTGGATATAGTTCCCATATATATCTTTATCTGATTTCAAATTAATTTTGCACCAAATGGGCAATACAAGTCCGAATTTAAAATATACAAATGCTTTGGCATATTTAGTCCTTTGAATTTTAAATTAAAATTATAATCAAAGCGTGTATGATTGAATTCTCCCATAAAAACTTTTAATTATTAAGTGGAGCTCAACTAAATTAGCAAAGTGGTGTAGGGTATAATAAAATCGGCCCCGCCCGACTTTAGGACTTTCTTTACTGGTTATTTTTAGTTTCTTAAAAGTGAATTAAACCTTTCATTTAAAACTGGAAAAATAATTACGATTTGTTTATTTTTGTAAAAGTAACAGGACATTTATTGTCTTTGCGATTTAAGTTGCTTTAGTTTTGACCACCAGTGTATATATATATATATATATATATATATATATATATATATATATATATATATATATATATATATATATATATATATATATATATATATATATATATATATATATATATATATATATATATATATATGTTTTATCCGATTTTGTATTTACTCCATCACCAGCTATCAGATGCAAAAATACTTCTGCTAAATTTTATAGAGATCGATTCAGATTTGGATATAGCTCCCATATATATCTTCAACCGATTTCACGTTTATAGTGCCCTTAAAGTGTAAAATCAATATAAAGCGGATTTTGATGAATATTGGTTCAGACACAAATGTCTTCGTGAAATTTAGAAGTTTGTCATATATTAGCTCCGATAGAAACCTTTCATCCATTAGTTGCTTTCGGCTTAAAATTATAACTGTTTTAACGATCATATTTGGTATATTTCTCATTCTCATAAATTCCCCATAAAAAAGTGTATTTGTTCTACATAGCTCTAATAGTCCACATCATTTGACTTGAGGCTTTGAAATTTAGCACTATAGTTTGTATTATGTCTAGGATGGTTGGTATTAATACATTGATATATTAGGACCTTGTTTTTCCATGGTTTGTAACCGGTTCTACCTTCTGTGCCTAAGTATTGCCTATATAACGTTACCTTTGCATATATGGTATTTTGACTTAAGCCACATTTTCCATCGTATTCGTTTCAAATTTGGTATTTTAGTTCATAATGGGTTCTACGACACTTGTCAAAACATTGTTCATATCCGTGTTCATATTATTTAAAGAGGACCAATATTTCATGTGTATTTGCCTGGAATTGTTTTCTATCGATTTGAGAACTCTGAAATGGTTTTTCATATAGATTTCTTGAGGTTTGTTCAAATTCTTCTTCCACAAACTATTTCGAACAAATAAATTTTCCCCAAAGGCACTAATGCAGACAAAATGCACAAAATATTTTGTCTGCAATGGTGGCGAATAAGCAACAAGCTTATTTAAACAGATTACCAAAAATATTTTTATCTTCTATTTCCACAAGACGTTTTTTTCTTTTTTCACTACATTCACTGACTGATTCCAGTAGAATCCCCAGCTCTGATTGGTATAAACATGTTGATGGTGTATCTACAATCGGATTTAATGGATATGTATGAATAAATATATACCCTGCGGGTATAGAATTACCAGTGAAATTTCTTAGATAATCTATTTGGACCGTCTAGATTACTTTGTATGCATTTCACACATTTTTTGGACCCCAAGCTCTCAAACTATAATACATAACATCTTAAAATGTCTAGAATTTCCAAAATAAGAAATTTTTCGTTTGATTGCAATATGTTTGGGGTTGATGCTTTTACAGTGGCTTTTGGAGAAAAAGGTAAAGTTTTTTTTGCACGGTGATACCCTCAGTCAAGTAAAGCAAACATTCTCTAAAACATTCTATGACAATTTAGACACAACACTATGTGTTGGGGGTATTATAAGTTTGATTGGGGCAAAAATTATGTAGCACCTCGAAATATTGATTTCTCACATGGGAAAGTATATATGTATCTTCCTATCTCGCCGAGCTGAGTCGAACTAGCTATGTATGTCCGTCCGTCCGTTTGTCCATGTTAATTTGTAATCCTCTACAGGTCGCAATTTACGAAACTTAGAATGGAGGTGGGGCTAGGGCCAGAATAGAAGGGCCTGTTGGAGATGATCGCATAATATTTAGGGGTTGAAATGGACCAAATACTGAAAAATTTCCTGATTTTGCAGTTGCTCTACAGGCCGCAATTATAAACCAATCGAAGCGGAAGTTAGCATGGGGCTAGAGCTTAGGGCTGGGCAGAAGCATTCCAATTTTGATGGTCATCGGGT